GCTAGTTTCAATTTATGCATAATTAGCTGTGTTCTTGTGTAACCGTGTTTTGATTTATGTCGTCATGTTGCATTTGGATAGGTTGCCCTTTTTGACTACATTGGCATACGTTAAAATTTCGATTTGTTCTTTTCATTAAGTTTCTGTTGTCTATGCACGATTGGCCATTGAACCAGTGCTGTACAGCCGTAGTTTCGATACTTTAAAATTCAGTGCAAATTTGAGATCTGACGAACAATAATTGGTCATATTAAGTGCGTTCTTGCATCAGAAGAGAGAGCAAAGATATCTCAGCATCATGGCATCATGTTGTCTTGAGGCTTTAAGTGTTATGCTCACACCTCTGTAATCTTCAGGAAAATTTTCAATAAGAACTATTATCTTAGATGTTTAACTTTTGTCAGGCTGCCATATAAGGTATTAGAATTTTGGGAAAAACCTATAAACTGCGATGCAAAACCTGTATGTTCAGATTACGTAGGCAGTTAGTTTTTTCTACATTCAGTAAAGTGGCATGCTTTTTTATCAGATTTGCTCTCAGCATAGTTTCGAGGATAAACCTGAATATAAGATCGCTAGCTGCTTGACAGTAACATGTAATACATCTTTAAAATTTTAAATGACAACAGTCTTCCGCTTCATCACGCTACCATTCGAAGGAAGTACGCTAGCAGGCAAAGTTGGTATACGACCGAACAGAGATGCGTTAAAGATCCATTCATGTGCTGTTGCTCAGTAAATCGTCGTAAAGTTAAAATTAAACTGTTTGATGTTTCGCTAAAAGACGGTTATTTTTTGGTGTTATAAGCAGTATTCTTCAATCGTAGGCAAGTAAGTATGAACAGTAAACGGAATTGTCCAAATTTCTGAGCCACACTATGTATAACGAGATCGTATTCTGATATCAGTTTTTTACCATCGAGTCTCCGGAGTGGGCACTCAACAGTAATTTTAAGCATGATGGCTTTCTTATTCGCACTTTCCAGTCGCACTGCTCTTTGAGTATCGACTTCCAAGACTGGAGTAGGTTGTTTCCAAGCTGGTCCAGTTTCATTTTGCTTCAACAAAGATCATTCAAGTCAAGCCAGATCCATGTTCAGAAATTCCTTTGTGGAATCGTAAACACGATGTCTGTCGACCACGGTCATATTATCCCAATTTGCTTCCATCATTCATCGAGTCTCTGTACCGGAGCCATTGCTCCTTCTCTGATTGCGCAATTTTAGTTTTTGTGTCGGCAGAAGTTGACGGATGTGATGGTTATACCTTATGTGCAATTAAGGTGAATTAATAAATAACACGTTAAGTCATTAGGCTGAGTTAGTCATGGCTAATCACTGCATCTGTAACTGTGGTTTACACAACAGTGTAAAGGTGTTGTTTGACACTTTCTTTATAAGTCGCATGCAATATCGCATTCGACGAATACCATTATTTCGTAAGAAATGGTGGAATCGAGCGATAGCGTTCTGATATTTATGCTCAGTTGATGGAAAGTAGTTTTTATGTAGAATATGCTCTCCACGGTTTGTGTATATGCCTCAAACGGCGACGGAATCGAAAACTTCCTTGTTGATTGTGGTATAACGCTTGTAATACCAAAAATTCTGAATTAGCAGGCAGTATGTTCAAGGCATTAACCTGACAAATAACTGGCACGGGCGCTTGCAAATTACGTTGATTCAAATTCGTCGAAACGTTGTAAAATGTGAAGGCGCCCTCAGAAATGACGCAGCTTATGTACTTATTTGACGTTTCAGATATATTTATATTTATTTTCATTCTCTGATCGGCTAAATTGTCTAACTGGATTTTAATTTAAGGCTGGCCGGCTTGAAATTTTTTGTTGTGTGAAAGTGGAATTGAACGAAGGTGCACCAACGGCAGATTGGCTCTCCCGCTTTTTCCGCGGTTATTACATTCCGAAGCTGTTCATGACGCCCGTTCGCATATCAGTGGTATTTTTATCGCGTCGCTCTTCTGGAAGACTCTTAGTTTATCAAAACTGTCGCCGTAGTTTGTTGTGACGTATAAAAGATATCAGAGTTAATTCAAGTGCGTCATTTTTACAGATCGCCAGACAGGGCTATTTTTGTTCATCAGCATGGGTTCTTTCGATGAGAGTTCAGTTTTTTGCTGAGCGGTTTGTCATAGTTAAGGGACACCGAGTTGTACATTGCCAGTGACAGTTTAAGCTAACTTGGTAAAGTCGTGACTTTTCATTTTCTTCAGTTGCATCATGATCATAATTATCATCACCATTTGCATTCTCTCTTTGCATATCTGAGCCGTGTGGTAGCCTGTATCACAAGTTCGAAGAGTATTGTTTTCGCTGTTAGCGATCATCTGCCGTACCGACGATGTTGTTTTGTCTGGTTTAAAATTAAGCCTGTTAAATGCTTGACCCAGAACCTCTTTCGATGTCCTCTCTGTCTTCTACCTCGAACAGTTCTTGTCCGGTACACTCGACACTTCGTACACTTCGATTCTCTGGTTCCTTGCACCAAATTTTCGCATGGTACTCCATCGTTTATAGCGGTTGGTATCAGCAGCAAGGTGGTAATCAATTTGAAGCTCTGTGCTTCTGTTAGCGCGAACACCCATTACAAAGTATCTTACGTCAGACAATAATGATTATCAGATCGATCGTCGACTTCCTTGCGTGAGCTTCCCTATTCCAGCTATGCTTATGCACTTTTTAATTCTCGATGACGTTGTTCATAACAGACGTTATGTTGTTTTGACAAAAACAACAACTTCATGCCATTATTTTTGAGGTCGCTATTGTCGTTCTTTCAAATCACTCACTTCCACTTTTCAGTGTCTGCTCTGACATACATTGAAGTAGCCCATGAGAATAACTGATCCCCGTTTATAGCACCTTACGCTTCATACAGGAAGGACTCTTATTCTCCCTCTGATAGAGCAGAAGCAGAGTCTATACCTTGTGGCCTCATCAGCTAGCTTGTTTATCATCTGAGTGAGGAGATGTTAAAATTTTCGATTTCTGAGTGAGGAGATGTTAGATGCTACTGTTGGTATCGTTCTGGTGGAATTTTATATGATGTGCTGTAATGGCATCGTGCTGTCTGCCTCATCCTTTCAACGCTGGTAGTGACTTCGTTGTTGACGGTATCTTCGTCGACTTACCAATCTTCGGCAGCTGTTGCCGTGCTGTCACGCTTCCATCTGTAAGAAGGCGTGAAGATGGTTCTGAGAGCGGAGTTTTCGCGACCCTTCAGTTCCCCAGCAGCCTGCGCGGTCCTTGGCTACCCAGGGAGTGGTCGAGCCGGTATAACTTTCGATAGTGTCAGTACCTTATGAGACAGGTGGCTAAGTTTCACGGGATGCGTCGTAACTGTCCCTAGCCCTCCTCTTTTTTCATCCGTGCTTGGAACCAGCAGCGGCATGATGTCAACTTGTTAAATACAACAGTAAATCAGGCATGATAAGAGCTGCCTATTTGCTGCAAAAATTATTTGTTGTTTTCCAGTAATTTCTTTTCAGCGAGGAACTTTGGTTGAATTCACTGTATACTGATCGTGAGATAACCTAGCGTGTCTTTGAGGTCCGTCGTGACCTTTATTAACTGTAATTAATTTTTAACATGAACTTCGAGGAACGATTTTCAAATATGCTTTTAATGGCTGATATTTGTTTTACAATTTTTCAGCTTGTTGTATTTTTGCTCTGGACTTGCTGTTCCATATCGGTTATTGGGAAGCTGAGCATAGGCTTAGACCAAACATTGTCCATGTCAAAGGTAACAGACAAATATATATGTTCTCTATCAACGCAGTTGGTCTGTTTCAGGATGCTGCGGCTTATCAGTATTTTACTGCGTTGCGAAAGTTCCTGACCGTAGGACCGCCGGTTTACTTCGTTTTACGAGGCGATATTGACTACAGTGATGTCAACGTTCAAAACTCGCTGTGCGGTAGCGTAGGCTGTTACGCTGATTCTTTGTCCGCCCAACTTTATCAAGCGTCATTGTACGCAAACAGGTAAATTTGTGAGGTTACGCAATGTATCATTTCTGACCCACTTTTCAGGTCATACGTGGCTGCAGCTGCGTTCAACTGGATTGACGATTATTTTGATTGGATGCGATCATTTCAAGGATCTTCGTGTTGTAAAACGTATTCGAATGGTACTTTCTGTCCATCTCACTGTAAGTCAGTTAAACTTTCGAATGCAACGCTTAGCTATACTGATAGGTTCAATAAAATTTCCGTTTTAGGGATGTGACAAAGGAGGGAACGATGCATACAAATGTTGCTAAACTTGAGCGTTGCTGTTTCGTGCATCTACGTGTGTTAAGTGCGGTCTTTCAACTAATGACAGTCGCGCCACCGTCAGTCATATTTGATTGACTCGACTTACATTGCGTTATATTACTGAACTTGATGTTTTTAATGTTTCTCTAAAAACAAACAGATCCTAGTTAAAGGTTTGGGATTTGTAAATACAACTTGGTATGCATAATTCTCTCGGTTGTCACTTCTTCAGTGACGATACTGCTCTGCATATCGAAAGATCAGTTTGTTTAGTATAAAGTATCCCTTAAAATTCGAATGTTATGTTCGAAATTCGAACAAATGTTTTCTTTTTTTTCAGTAACCAGTGATGACTGCCAGAGTTGCGAAACTAACTTCACTACGGGCCGAATGAAACCGAACATATTCAACATGTATCTGCGTAACTTTTTGCTCGACAATCCGAACAGTTATTGTACCAAAGGGTGAATCAATTGGAGCGATGTTTTGCAGCGATGTCAGTCCTTTTCATGTTATACGTTTTTAGAGGCCACGCGGCCTATGCTAGCGCGCTATACTTTGAGAAAGAACGCCTGTCGAGCAGCTACTTCATGACTTATCATACGGTGCTGCGTGATTCGTCTGATTATTTAAATGCACTTGTGAACGCCAGAGCCATCGCTGATAACATCACTCGCTCTGTTCAAAGTCATACCGGTTCGCGGGCGTCTGTTTACCCTTACAGGTTTTTGCAGCTGGTTAAAGCTATTGCGATGCACGATTATTCACATATTTAGTATCTTCTACGTTTTCTATGAGCAATACATTACGGTTGTTTACGAGTTGCTAAAGCAGGTATCTTTGTCGATGGCCGCGATTTTCGTTGTTGCGACGTTGCTGCTCGAACTCCACGTCTGGATGTCATCTGTGATTATAATGACGCTTTCCATGATTACCCTGAACCTGATGGGTCTGATGTACTGGTGGAATATCTCACTGAACGCTATATCTGTGGTCAACCTCGTCATGGTATAGTTCTAGTTATAATCTTTTATAGATCGAAGTTTCCAGGCGTTAAATATTCAGAACCTTTTTTTGCAGCTGTTCGCTGATAGTTATCGTTGTGTTCTGTTTTCAATAGCTCACAACTCACGTGTCACTGTGCGGTTCATAGTACGAAGTTTCAGTTTGTCTTATTATGAGTCTTCAGGTTTTCGTTCCGCAGCACATTTCATTTTTTCCAATTTTAGCTCTACATAATTTTTCCATCTGTGTTTAAGGCACTAAATATCTGTCATAAGTCAAATCTCGCGTCTTATATACTCAACGTTGAATGTAAATTGCATAGTCGTAAAATAAGGCAGAAAGTACGACTTACTAACAGCATTTTCCGGAAATTAATAATCCTTCAAGACTTGAAAAAAGGCGTAAATGTCCCGGTCTTCAAAATTGCTAATCGCACCTTTCTACGCTGAATATCGAGAAATCGTTTCTGCCGGGTTGGATAATGTGTTCTCATTGATAATTTTTCAAAGAATATGATGCCATGAATTATTTGTTATGGACAAACAAACATTTTCGGCAGGGCATTCAGGCTCGGCTGGAGGTAGGATACTGAGATGCTTCCTTTAAGAAGTTGTGTACGAAGCAAATCCCTAGTATTTATAGGTTTATTAGCAGTTTGCTACTTTTCGATCCCCGGGCAAGAGTAGCAGTCTCTTGCCAATTCGCCGAATTTTTACGGCGTAGGCGCGCCGTCTCCTTGCTTCTAGTGATCTGGGAGACCGTTTAAACAAACCACTGCTCTATGGTATTTAGCACCTGCATTGCCTGAATGCCAAAATGCCACTGAGCAGGGCTGAAAAAACTATTCAGATATCTGCTGAAGTCGGTGGCAACAAAACCCTGTTCTTTCCTGCAGTATCGATAGCTAGCAGTTTTCTGGTAAACCCGTAAATACCGGGATTAGGCTTTTGTATATAAATGGCTACAGATATTGGCATTTCTGTAGGTGTCTGCAAAGGTTTTTATTCAGTCCTGTCAGTAACACCGTTTTGCATCCATACACTGCAAGTGCTAAAATACCATGAAGAAGTGGTCTGCCTGAACACTCCCGTTGAGTGATGGAAGCAGAAGGACGGCGCCTTGTAAATCCAGGGAATTGGCAGATTACATTGATGTGCATTGTAGCAACTCTCAGAAGTTTCCACATTTCAACCCTTACCTGTGAGCCGTATATAATCGTCCTCAGGCGCTAGTTTGGTAGTCTCTGTTACGGTCTCGCTTTCATTGTCCCGATAGAACTTGTCCTGAATTGCTTGGCGGTCAATTCTGGTGCTAAAGTTGTGTTAGAGTTAAATGTTTTTTCCCTAACATATGACTGCTTCGTATTTGTTGCTATGCGTAATTCTTAGCAGTAATCAGGACGACATTGTATTGATTGCAGGCTGTCGGTATTTCGGTCGAATTCTGCGCTCACATTGTTAAGGCATTCCTCATTAACGATGCCGCCGACCAAATTGAGCGTTCAAAAAGTGCCCTAGAATCAGTCGGAAGTTCGGTACAATTTCGTGATCTAAATGCCATGCTTGTACGACAGTTGGTTTTAGATCTTCAGCGGCATTGTCCTAACGAAATTCTGTGGCATATCCGTATTGGCTTTCAGTAATTCCGAGCTGTTCCAGACATTTTACTTTCGCATGTACCTGGGCATCGTTCTTTGTGGAATGGTGCATGGTCTTGTGTTTCTTCCAGTGTTTCTTAGTTTTTTCGGTAATATGCTTTGCGATATTATTCGTTAAGGTTTCTTCCTTCTAAACATTATAATAAAAGAAGCGTAAAACAGTTTGATTTAACGCAACAAAAATATGAGTACATGGCAGATAAACCGGTGCAAATAGTCATTCGCTATCATGCCGATTTTCCGGATAGGCGTTCGTTATTTTCAGTGTTTCTGTTTCTTAATATCAGCTAGGATTCGTTCCGTCTCCTCTCCTGTTTTTGTTGTCCATGGATAGGGGTGTCAGGCGCAGGCAGCGTTGCAAAGGTATAAGAGTAGGAGATGTTGAGGCGGGAAATTTGCTCTTTGTAGTCTATCTTGTTTTGTTGGCATCTTCCGAAACTGGTCTCCCGCGTTTTCTGGAAAGATTCGCAGCAGAATGCAACGTAATCGACGTGCGTACGAACTCGTCTAAAGTGAAAAGTCTAGTCCTTTTTTGTTTTGCCCTCTGGGCTCTAGAGATAGCTGAGAGGCAGTGGGTTAGGTGAAGTTCACGTACCTTGGGGTCGCGTAAACGAGTGATGAAAAATCAGAGGAAGCAGTTGACCGGTAAATTGCATATGAAGTAACCAGTTGAATACCTATCATCATTGAAGTTGTTTAATCAATACCGCTGTCATATTGCCGTTATCGCACCATCGTCTATTTCATGAAAAAGGCCATTCTGCGAGAGTGCGATTTAGCTTTTAAAAGTAGGATTACTTTCGCTGAACAAGATCACATAACTCCTCACTCCAGCCTGAAATCTCGACGGTCGTGTCGAACAACCAAAGACGTGCTGCTTTTGTCTAGTAGCATCACTAGAGGTTGATGACAAATTATATGGAAAGAATCTAAAGCTATAAATCAACAGCTGTCTTAAACCGTAAATAAATTTTCCTATTTGCTGTTTTCACGAATGAACCGAATGGTTATATCTCCTTGACATTACCCACGGCCGATGTACTTACCTGATACAGGATAGACGTTAAAATAATCGTTGTTTTGTGACCTTGTGAAACCCAAACTCTGACGTTGTCATTAAGTGCCACATATACGCATGTCCGCGTAGAGTTGAACTCCAAAATTGTCTCTAGAAACACTGTATGGCTTTCAAAATTATGAATCTATATGAGAATATGTACTTTAATTTTGCTGCTTTTACTGTTTTCACTGTTTGCACGTTGCCACTAGAACAGCTTCAACATTTAAATATTTTACTGCATAAATGATATCAGCAATTACTTTCGTTGATGAACGTAGTATGGTACGCAGAATTCGTGAATCAAGAAGCATCGTAGTTATATTTTAAATGATTTTATTAGCATTTATGTTTCTTTTCAGGTTGTTTAGCCCGCACCTTTAGAAATTAAAGCTCATTCCTAGCCAAAGCATCGCAGCCGAAGTTTGAAATCACAGCGCGATGAGATTCCATGTGTCTGTTCTTGTACCTTTGTATGCTATATCAACTGTATTGAAGAGATTGTGATTAATTTGTTGGAATCTTGTGTACATGAAAAATGATTACTGTCTTCAGCAGTTTTGGAAGTAAACTTTTCTCGAATTCTAAGTAAAGAATTGCACTTTATAAAGGGTATGCCTGTGCTTGCTTCCTTTGCATGTATATGTAATTACATTAACTTTTGGTTAAATTGAAAATTTGAAAAATTTTTAACACTCTGTTTGGTAATACGAGTCTTCATGACGGAATGGCGGATTTCATTTTCTCTAATTATAATAGGTGACGAAAGCGAAATTCATACCTTATCAGTAACTCTGTTGAACTTGAGTTTTATTCAACTATTGTTGCCAAACTTCATTATCATTTGTGAGTTCGAGTGTCTGTAATTTGTTGATGTTCTATTTCATTGCAAGACTGGTTTTTTAAAAGGCTCATTCCTTTCCTCAGATTCAGAGAGTGATTCAACTTCGGGGCGATGAAATTTGAAACATCTTTAATGTTTGTTTATTTTGTAAAAGCTGCGGCAATTCTTAGAAATGTTCTGATATCAGACACTTTTTCTCAGTAACGTGTAAAATCAGGTTATAAATATTTCATCAATGTTTATGCAAAACCTTTGAGGCGTTTACAGTATCTGTAAATCGTTTCTAAGAGAATAGTTTAAGCTTGATTCGCTAAATGTGTTTCGTCATGATTTAGTTTACTGATTTTATCTAGTTCATATACTAAGGTTACTGCACTCTAAATTGATTTGTCTCTAGCACCCATATTCAAGCTATGCGCCTAATAAATTTATTATTCAGAACTCAGACTACAATTTGTAATGACCATTTTGTACTGAACGTTAATAAGTTTTGAGTTAACTTGTTTATCGCGGATTCTGGTTTTCTGTAGTGTCATGTCTTTTATTAACTGCTGTTGGATCGCAAAAACATTTAAAAGAAACTTAAACTGCAGATAAAATGAAATCAGAAACTTGAGCAAGCATAATGCATACGTAAAGAACTTGATAGCATAGCAGCGATTCTTTTCGAACAAGCTAGTAAACAGAAGTAACACCAATAATCAGTACCACAGATCATTAAGACAATAATGCAGACTTACAGAATCCAGATAGTTCTGTATTTCACATTGGGAGACGATTTCGCATGATTTTCTATAGGTCAGTGGGGACAGTTTTCAAGGGGATAAATTTCTTGGTTGTAGCGATTTTGCAATGAGTAATATAAGGAATTGTAGGCCATTGTAAAGTTTCAGCATTGCGTCGGACGATGGTATAATTACAGTAGATTTGCGCAAGATTCCAAGTGTGGATTGCAGTGTCGTTGTGACAAGGATGTCTAGCATCGTCGGTAATATCTTTGGGCTTTGAGCAGTTCGAACGACTGAATTGGAAACTTTCTTTGTGATTTACTGTAAACAAGTTTCCCATATATTTGCTAGTAGCTTTTGCAGCTGCTTTATACCCCCGTAGTAACGGCCTTGAAAGCTATCGGAATGAGTGAAACAGAATAGCGAAGTAACGACATCGTGTAGCGTTCAGTTAACTGCAGCAACTTTTGCTTAACTTTTAGGCGTTTCTTTCACCTGAAAAAGATTAGCCGTGTTAATTTGGCAGTCAATCAGGAAATTCGTTTATCCCAAGAATAGCAGTTGTCCACTTTTATGCACGAGTAATCAACTGTAGGGGTTGTTGTGAATGTCTGATTTGTGAGTTGAGTTGTTCAGATACCGTGAAACATTGCTCTTATTTTTGGCGAATGAAATGTGTAGTATATTGCTTTTTCGATATTTACTCTGAGTCGCGCGTTTGTGCTGCGTTGAAGCGCTTTGTTAAATGAAGGACTTTACATCGTCCTTGAAAAAAGAGATGAAACACGCTACAGAACAGAATTCAAGATAGAAAACGTGGAACTTTGCAAAACTTTAAAGGAACGAATAAATCAGGACGTCCGAACATTCACCTGCAGATTGGTAGCGGAAGCTTTTGAAAGCAACTTAAGCTTGAAGAAATTAAATCGGAGATTGACGCTCAGGAAATGACTCATTTTGGCTCTCGAAGTGGAAAGCGAGACTATCGTCAAAGTTAGGCAAAAGATTTTAAAGTGTTTAAGATTTCTAAGACGAAGAAAACAGCACGATAGGGAGCCTGAACATACAAATGACGTTGACGAGATTTCAGATATCTTGCCAGAAGAAGTTGATCATGCGTCTTTAAAACAGTCGAATCCAGGAAGGACTGTTGCCGAAAACAGCATTTTAGTGGAACTCGTGGAACCAGGTGATGAAGCATTGATCAAGATATTAGCGCCCTTGTTTTCACGCGGTTTTAAGAAGCTGAAAACTCCAGATGACGCTGCTGCATCCATGGTTCTACTCTATAAAAAGAGGCAAATTATTTGATGAATTACAGGCAGATATGTTAGGAAGGGACCATTTATCAGATCTTCAGGAAGGTACTAACGAACTGACTTCAGGCAAAGCTTAATGCTTCACACCGAACGAAGCAAGACGGGTTTTTAGCCGATTTAAGAGGATGGATCATCCTCATGAGGCACAGCAAATAATTCAAGCAAACCGCGAATATCAGCTTCTTCTCTGCCTAGTTTTCGTCAAGAGGATTTCCAACAAATTTCTGTACTGAATTCCTTGAGAAGCTTGAATCGAAAAAAGTTACGGAGACCTAATCGTTATGATTTACGAGAGCGCTGTTGCTAGTGTAAAACTTCACTAAAGCACAAGTAAGTTCAAAGTCAAAAAGGGCGTTCAGCAGAGAGACGCAGTATCACCAGTTATTAATCTGAGCGCTGGAAAAGGTTTTCAAGTCATTACATGGGGAAGATCTGGAGCTGAACATAAATGGACAGTAGGTAAGCCACCTGCAATTTGCGGATGACATTCTGATCCTCTCAAGATCTAGAAGAACTTCAAAGAAGAATCTAAGATACGAGCGACTCTAACATGGAAGTTGGACTAAGAATGAACTTGAACGAGACCAGGCCGTGTTTAACGAATATGTAAATTCCACGATCTATTGAAGTCAACGGACTTAGGCTTGAAGAAGTGCAACACGACGTCTGTCTAGGACAGCTCATTTCTGTAGCGGAGAAGCGACTGTTTGAAATCAAAAAAAGAATAAACATGGCATCGAGTGTTTTGAAAGGCTGAAGAAATTCTTATCCGGTAAACTGTCCTTGTTCGTGAAACGGAAGGTTTTCGATCAATTTGTACTTCCAGTTTTAACCTCTGGGTGCGATACGTTGGCCATAAGCTTGAAACGTATTCCTGAACTGCAGAGTGTACAACGCAGCATGGAAGGGTAAATATTGAGAACAGCAAAAATGATAAGAAAACGGATAAATGGGCAAGATTAGAAACTAGTCTACCAAGTAATGGCCCCAGTGAAGGGGTTAAAGTGGCAATGCGAGATACACGTTGCAAGAAGAACTAAACATCGCTGGACGAGAGATACGTTAGACTAGGTGCCAAGGCAGAGTAAAAGGCCCGTACGAAGATCTAAATCTATGGCAGGATCAGCTACAGATATTCGTTAGATGAAAATGGCGGAAAATGCTCCACGA